TACTATGCCAGCTCTCAACAACGACGTCCTGAACTCCACTCTGCTGTCTGATCACTTCATTGGGGATTCAGTCACGGATTGAAATTCCCAGAATTCTTCTTTCCATCGCCCTCTGCATGACAGACAGTTGCGCCCATATTTCACTGCTGTACAACATTGCTGGCTGTACTATTGAGTTGAAGAGGCTGGCGCATGTTGCTTTGTTGATTTTTCCTTGGAGGACATCCTTGATAGAATTGAAAGCGCAACAACCTGCTTTCTTTCTTCGCGAGAGTTCACCTTCCTGATCATGGTGCCTGTTAATTTCTTGGCCCAAATAGACATATTGCTCAACTTCTTCTATTTGTTCTCCCTTGATTGTCATTTGGACTTTTGGCAAGGTATCTGACCACATACATTTAATTTTGAAGCGGTTAATTTTTCAATCTGACTTGGCTGCTTTTTGTGTTGAGTTCTTGCAGCATTTCCTGTAGTTTGATAGTATTTTCTGTGATCCACCCAATATCGTCCATGAATCTGAGATGGTTTAACTGCTCTTCGTTGATGTTGATTCCACCCTTTCAATTGATCTGCTTGTAATGGCGTGCACTCACCGCCGCAGTGCCTCCTGCTGGTAAGTCTGGGAATTAGCCCTTTCCAGCCTCGGACCGCCTCCTGCTGGCCGGTTTCTTGCCCTTGGTTACCGGCCCTGTTGTCTCCAGCACCTCTGGCCCTGTGTCCATCCCAGACCTATGTGCCCCTTACCTTGGGGTGCTACCCCACAGCAGTGCCCCCACACTCTGGGTCTCATCTCTTCAGGGGAACCCCAACCCTTCTCTAAATAATAATAATATATGGAGATATACCTATCTCATAGAGCTGGAAGGGACCCCGAAAGGTCATCAAGTCCAGCCCCCTGCCTTCGCTAGCAGGACCAAGTACTGATTTTGCCCCAGATCCCTAAGTGGCCCCCTCAAGGATTAAACTCACAACCCTGGGTTTAGCAGGCCAGTGGGCAAACCACTGAGCTATCCCTCCCCCCTATACCCACCTTGCTTCAGTGGCTACTGCCAGTCTTCATCTAGCCCCTTTACTCAGGTGCAAACTGCAGTCTGCAATGGCCACTCATCATTGGCTAGGGGGTTGGACCTTCTGCCTTTCCCTGGAGCCCCAGTACCTCCTTAGGCCTTTCTGCCAGGCCTCAACCTGGGAGATAGCCAGGCCTGAGCTCCCCAGCTCAGCCTGTCCCTTCCCTAGCACTGCTCTGTCGAAGGTACCCTGTCTCTCCCAGGCAGCTAAGTCCTTCTCACTCCAGGGCTGGAGTGAGACTCATTCAGCTCCCTACTCACAGCCCTCTTATCAGGGCAAGCTGTGTCCTGATTGAGCTGGCCACACCTCTGGCCAGCTACTCAGCCGCCTCCCTCAGCTGCTCTGACTCCTTTTATCCCAGGAGCGGGGTAACCGCCTCACTACATTGCCTCATTACCATTTCGAGGCAGTCTGTGCAGCGTTTCGGTGAAACCATGGCTCCTTGTTTCACACCTTTCTTAACTTAGATGCAAAGCAGGGTATCAAATAAAGTTATAATAAAGCAGTCAGAATTTGCTTCCCTTAATAGTTTGATATAGTTTGTGTCGATGCCCTGCTCTGCAATTGCTTTCAACACTGCATTGATCTCTATGCTGTTGAATGCTTTTTCATAGTCAATGAAGGCAATACATAAAGAGTATTTGTATTCCCTTGAGAATTCCAATAGTTAGTTTATAGTGAAAATATGGTCCATTGTGCTGAAATTCCTTCAAAAGCCTGCCTGCTCTCTTGGCTGCTGCTCGTCCAGACTCTGCGAGAGTCGGTTTATTATTTTGGTGAACAGCTTGTAGACATGTGAGAGCAGGCATACTGGACAATAGTTCTTTAGATCTTCACAATCACCCTTCTTGTAAAGCAGAATGGTGTTGGACTCCTTCCAGCTAGATGGCATCTTCTGCATTTCCAAGTAACGGCTAAACCTCTGAGCAAGGGTTTCCCAGAGGTCTTGGCCTCCAGCTTTTATCATTTTGATTGTCAGTCTATCTTTACCTGGGGATTTTCCTTCCTTAATTTGGTGAACTGCATGTTGAACTTCGCTGACAAGGACTGGGAGGTACATGCTCATTGGTCTGTTGAAGTGTTGGTACTGATACATTTATCTGAGACGCGAACAGTTCGGTGTAGAAATCTTTGCAGACCACTTCTATCCCTGTTCTGTCAATTACTGGTTTTCTGTCACTGTTCTTCAGTGCCATTATTGTTGACCCATACAGTGTCAATTCCCTTTTGCATTTTTTGAGGTGTCTGTGATCTTCAGCCGTCTTTAAGAGCCTTTCATTTTGGTACTTCTTGAAGTCCTCCTTTAGTCTTCTTCTTATCAACTTGCAGAGGAGGGAGTACTCAAGCTTGCACCATCATTTTGCTTCTTTAGCAAGTACCGCATTTCCTCTGAGATTCTTCCCTTTGCTCTTTTCAGTCTTTCTTTCTCAGCTAATATTACTCATTGCCTCAATTGATCATTGCAGTTATCTATAAGACTCCAGTCTTCCTTGGAAATGTTCACTTTCAAGATTGCCTTGTCAAATATTTTTGGCCGCTGTCTCTGATTTGCCATCTGTAGTGCTTTCTTCTCCACCTTTTCATTGAAGTTGAGCCTTACTCTGAGCAAGCGATGGTCACTACTGGTGTTAAGTGATGGTACTACTGAGACGTCTTGTACAATGCGCCACTTATCAATTAGAATATAGTCAATCTCATTTTTGTTCTTCGCATTGGGCATGATCAATGTCCACCTCCTCTTGGCCTTCTTCTTAAACCAGGTGTTACCAATGAACATTTCTTTCATCTCCACCATAGTTGCCAGTCGCTCTCCTCATGGATTCTGTTCACTGATGCCATACCTTCCAATGAACTTTTCACCTTCTTCCCCTCTTCCAACTTTGTGTTCAAATCTCCCATTGCGATCGTATATGTGGATTTTTGAGCAAGGGTTTCCTCAAGCTCCTGATAGAATTCTTCCATATCATTATCTTCGCTTGTGCTTGTGGGAGCATAGATCTGAATAATCTTGAGGGTACTTTTCTTGTTCAGCTGGAGGTGTAGCACCCCGATGCGTGAGGACTTGAACTTGCACGAGATGATTTTTGAAGACCTTTCCTTGTTAATGATGAAGCCGATTCCTCCAACAGTTCTCATGCTTTCTCCTTTTCCCAACACGATGGTACTTTCATATCTCCGCTTCACTTCCATCTCCTTTCTTCATCGTGTTTTGCAGAGACCAAGGATGTTGCAGGCTGTCCTTGCCTTCTCCTCCATTAGATGGTTGATCAAATCATCTCTCATCAGTGTCCTGCAGTTATAGGTGCACACTGAGAGGCCAGTCCTTTTTCTGGCCCCTGAGATTCTTAATAGCCTCTCATCGACTGAACTCCCCACCACTGTTGTATAACAGATCGAGGAGTGAACAAGGAGCTGGGGCCCATTTATTCATATTGTTTTACCCATTTCTTCATCCACCCACTGGCTATGCTGTCAGTGGTGCATTTACCTCCTCAACATAGCGAGCACCCAACCTCGAGTAGGAGGACAGCTCTCCTCTCCCTGGGTTGGTAGTCTGACACCTTAATAGCATGATTGAACCTACTGAAGAATACACTCCACTATCTTCACTGTCAGAGAAGCCAGGGTCACTGCTGCACCACTTTGAGGCATTGAGGTAGGATTATGCAGAGGCAGGATCTGCTGCAAAATCCTACATCAATGCAATTTTCATAACATTCTTTTAATGTAGTTTTTGGTGAGCAATTTAAGATTTGTAATTCTATACAGGTGAAATTCACCCCGTGCAGGGGGCCAGTACAAATAACAGGAACCAAACTAATGTTGCATTTAGGCTCTAGTTTGAACCCTAGTCTAGAGGAATCATTAAGCCAGTAAGTCAGTCTTGAAATTCCAGTATTGTAGCATTGAAACTGCACCTATTTTACAGGAAAAAATTGATTTGTTCCATCAATTCATAGATTTTAAGGCCAGAAGAGACCTTTACGATCATTTAGTCTGAACTCCTGGGTAGCACATGGCAGAGAACCCCACCCAGTGACTCCCACATCTGTTTAAGCTAGAGCAGATCTTTTAGAAGGACAACCAGTCTGCTTGCTAGGAACTCAGTGACATTCAAAGGAAATGATCCAGCAGGACTGATCCGATGACTCTATTTACAGGTTAATTGTTAATGCTGGTATTTGGATGGGGTGCGTGTGTTGGAGTTGATAAGAAGCTATCTGATAAATCCGTTGACATATCCTTTTGAGTAATTACTGTGGCCTGGGCAGAGATAGCCTCTAGTTCTGCTAGAAGTTATTGGGCAGGAGGTCATATTAAATGCTCATCTTGCTGTCTTCTGGCTTTAAGATAGATGAATCTGTGGCTCGAGGGTGACGTTCCACTACCCTGACTCAGGTTGAGTAATGCTCGGACATGGGCATTGTTACACACTCATGAAGGGAATGGGTAAAATCCCCTTCATTCACAGGGAAGTCCCATGGATTTCAATGGGAGAGGGTATCCATGTGGGTTATGAGATTATCAGAATTTTGTGCTATATGGGTGAAGCCCAAAGTCCACTCTCGCGAATCATTATTATATGGGAAATGTAATAATTTTTTGCTTTACTGCAGAAAGGTTAAAATTCACACAGAATTTCTCAAGGATGGTTCAGTATACATTTAACTAGCTTTCCAAGGGTTCTGCCCACTGTTATTAAAACCAATAGAAGCCTTGTGCTCGACTTCATTGAGAATCAATCCACATGGACCTGTTGCCTTCTGCAATCTATCTAGCACCTTCAGTTCTTCTTTAATCTTTATCTCATCACCTTTCCAAAGGAAATGTCATTGGCAGAGCCAGGGAGAGATGCGAACCACACTGCAGTGACAGAATTTATCCTTCTGGGGTTTGGAAGAGGTCCAGGGCTCCAGGTGGTCCCTTTTGTGATGTTCCTGTTGATTTACATAATAACTGTGCTAGGGAACACCATCCTGGTCCTCACCATTACAGCCGACTGTCACCTTCAAACCCCCATGTACTTCCTCCTCATGAACCTGTCACTCTTAGACCTCTGCTACTCCTCCGTCATTGCCCCCAGAGCCACGGTGAGTTTTCTAACAGACACCAAAGCCATTTCCTACAGGGGATGTGCCACCCAATTCTTCTTCTTCGCTCTCTTTGTAAGTACTGAGGCATTCATCCTGACGGCCATGGCATATGATCGATACACTGCCATCTGCAACCCACTCCTGTATCCCACCACCATGTCCAAGCCAGTCTGCATTCAGCTGGTGGTGGGGTCCTATCTCTGTGGCAGCGTGAACGCCATGGTGCAAACGAGTTTCACCTTTACTCTGCGCTTCTGTGGCTCTAATGAGATTGATCATTTCTTCTGTGATGTTCCACCCCTGCTAAACCTCTCATGCACTGACACATACATCAATCAAATGGTGCTGTTTGCCTTATCGGGCGTCATCATAGTGAGCACTGCCCTGATCATTCTTGTCTCTTATGCCTAT